TCCCTCTCCCTCTCCCTCTCCATATAGATCATGTAGATGTTATTCTTTCTATATTGAGTTCATGGTAGAATTGCTGGTTAATTGTTTTCAGTTTTTCACCTTACCAAGTAGCACCTACATTTCATTGTCATAATTCAGAAACCATAGCCCTCTTTGTTATTCCTGATATTATGTGTCCTGCTTGTCATGCACCATTTAGCTGACGTAGAACTTCTGATATTTTTTTTAGAAGACTAATGAATTTGGAATTCCACATTACACATTTGGAAGTTATATTTTAAAAATTTCTAAATAAAGCCCTTAATGTTTGTACTGTTATAATTTGAATTGGAGACTTTTGCTTTGTCATATGCAGCATGTACAAAGACCTCTTATATCTTTTGGTCCCAAAGCATCCATGAAGCTTAAGACATGCCCAATTAATGTTTGCAAGGTAATGTGACTTTCTTTGATGACTAGACTTTAGTTGTTTGTCAAATAGCAGGCTGGATTGTATCATTTACCTTTTCCTGTGGTTTTTTCCCTTGTTATGGATACTGCAGGAACTGAGATCATGTTCTCGTTTAGTAAGTGCGTTTTCTTCTGAAGGCTCTGGATTGACAATGGAAGGAGCTTTCTGTACTGCATGGCTAAAGAATTTGCAAAAGCCAATTGGTTCACTAGTCTTGTCTGAAGATCATGGATCTGGTAACAATGCTAACCCTTCGCAGTTTTGCACACAACCAAGTTCTATTCATGGATCTCTATTGCAGTTAGTAGGTTCTTCTTACCTACTTCGTGCCACTGCATGGGAGATGTATGGCAGGTGATCTTTTATAAGCACATTTTGTATCTGCTTGTCTTTTGTTCTATTGATTTACCTGCATATAAATTTAACTATTTTTTTATATTAGTTCTTTGTTGATATTTCTTATGAATAATGAGCACCAAAAAAATGCTTGCCAAAATTGCTAGCAAAATTCTAATCTGCTATTTGAAGGTTGACATGAGCCAAAGATTTTTTGTGTTAAGTCACATTTGTATAATCTTCTGCAAGTGTCCAAGCTGTTATCTGCTTGTGTTGTTGGTTGTTTGATGTAGTCCCAGTACACTGCCAGGTATTAATCTTCTGGGTAAAACTGTAAAAGTATTCAAGCATGTGATGGTGATGTTGAGGTGTTTGGAGTACTATGGTCTCGCACCTACAGTGCCTAGTCAATTTTCCCCCCTTTTTTCTTTAATGCCAAAAATTTAGAAAATCTGGAAAAAATAAAAGAAATCAGAAAATTTACAAAAAAAATAAAAATAAAAATAAAGAACAAGTTAAACATTAGTTGCTCAAGTTTGACACTTAGTAAAAATAGATGTCCGCACTAAGCCTGTGAGTGGGACACTAGTCTCTGACTCTCTGGTTGGTCTCTGGCTTTACTCTACTCTCAAAATTGAACAAGAAGATATGCGATGCACAGTTGCAATTTGTGAATGGAAAAACCCTAAGTTCCTTTTGTTTTTTGTGATTTGTTTTTCTATAATACAACAACAGTGGCCTTCTATTTTTTGTTTGTTATAATATAATACGATATTTGGGTTTTTTGCTTAATCTCTCTAGGTGCGCTTAGGCACAATTAAGTGTGCCTAGGTGTGCTTCGTAATCACTCTAGGCATTTTTGCAATATGCCTAGGCAGGGCGAGGGGCCACCACCTAGCATCTAAGTATGCTTTTTTACAACACTGGTTGTTATCAAATGAACAGTTCTCCATGCAGTTGTACTTCTTTGCAAATTGCTTAGACATGATCATCATTTATGATATTCATTCAAATCTTCTTCAAAATGAACTGTAATTCTAAAGCCTGGAGCTTCTTAGAAAAGGATTCATTGTTTGTCTAATGGAGCAACTATTGGGTAAACTTATTTGTTTTTCTGTCTTGTGTATTTGTCATTTAGCAATTTAGAGTTCAATTTTATTTGCATTTTATTTTTATATTCTGCTGCAGAATTGTATTTCTGCAATGAATGAAATCTAGGGCTATTTATTTAATTTGATTGTGTTTAGATTTTTTATTAAGAATTTTGTATTATTATTATTAGGCTTTATTTTCTTGTACCCTGGTTGGTTATTTAGAATTAGTTTCACTTTCTTAATCGATTGGATGCACCCCAGTTGGTTATTTAGTAGTAGTTTCCTAATTCATTTACAATCCATTTGAAGTTTCCTAATATTAATCAAACTAACCTATTATAGTGTTTGCATAGTTATTTATAAAAAATATGTTTTCTTTTTTATTTTTTTTTTTTATTTTCATAACATGGATATCAGTATGTTTAGCTTTTCTAGTCCTATGGTTACTTGCAAGTCACCTGTCCGCATGTATCAAGCTAATCTCCACCTGGGGTAGCAAGCATGGCCCATTGAAATTGTCTGCACCCATAAAGTTTGTAATGATTTCTTGCCTAATCACCTTTCTTCTTTTTTCAGCGCCCCACTAGCTCAAGTACATGCTTTGGTTTATGCAACATGCTTTGCTGACACTTCAAGGTAACGCTCATCTTAGAAAAATTGTAATGCTGCTTATGGACTACGTTTCAACTTCAACCTTTAGGATGTATTTTTTTTATATCTATCTGAAGCTTATTTAATATGAGCTTGACCCTTTCTTGCATATTCCCAGTTCATTGGATGCAACATTGGTACATGTGAAGCTTATCCAACATCTAGCAATATTTAAAGGATATAAAGGTTAGATCAAAAGCTTGAATGCTTATTTTCACCGTTCATTTCTATATTAAATTTCAAAAATATATATTTTGTTTCCTTGACTCTGTTAGGAAGTTTCTTTCTCTTTTTTAATTAAAAAAGTAATGTATACATGTGTCTTGCTAGAAAGAAAGTTGAGTTTATTTGATATACACACGCTAGTATAATTATGCCAGTTGTTACACCAATCAATAATTGTACAATTTATATTTTGCAAATCAACCATAGGATTTAATGTTCTATTCATGTGGATCACATACATCAAATTTAAAGTTATTCTGATTTTATGACCTACAAACGAAAGACTGTAATTTATATTTATTTAATGATCTAGGATTATGTGTTTTAATGAAATGATTAAATAGAAAATAAAATCCAAATGTTGGTATGGCAAACCATAAATTGTACTAAGAATTTTTTACTAGTATAACTACAACTTACAATAATGTATAATTAGTCCAAGTTGATTAGTTTATGGGGCAGTTTGCTCTCACTTTTGGTTGCTAAGCGGATTTGTCCCCTGTGCTATGTTTTGGGGGCAATTTTGGGTATTCATTCTACCTAGAATAGCATGTGGATAGTAAGATCTAGGTAGGACAGAAGGTGGGAAAGAAGGGGCTCCAGTTGAACTTATCTAAAAATATGGGCACCCTAAGTAAATATCAACAAGTATTCTTCTCTTTTCCCATTTCCCCTATATATTCTTTTCTCCTTTGGATATAAAGAAGTTCTTGCACCAATATCCCTTTTTGTTCTGCTTGTCTATTGTGTTGTGTAAGGTATACTTTCTTTACTGTATTTGTGAACTTTCTAATAACTAACTATTGAATGATGATTTTTTTTTATAGTTTATTATTTAGTATTTTATACGTCTCTTTTAGATATATTCTGCCTCACATTCACCAGGCGTATGCCTGTTGCCTTGGGTTTTGTGCCAAGGCTTCAGGTGCTTTTGCAATTTTCTGTTCCTTGTGCTGTAGTTAATATGTACAATAATGGCTGCATGCTTCTGCCTGGCAATTCTTATCTTTCTATTGATTTCATTTAGCTTTTTCATCTGTACTTCTAGAGGCTTTTGCTGCTCTGAAAATTGCAGAGGAGAAGTTCTTATGCATCTCAAAATCACGAATCTTGATACTAAAATTGCAGCTGCTCCATGAGCGTGCATTGCATCGGTGAGGTTACTGGGAGAAAGATGTGAATGTCTTTTTCATTGACTACTGTGTAGTTTTGTCATACTTTTTAGTTAATTTCAAACTTTTCTATTATGCAGAGGACATCTAAAGCTAGCTCAACAAGTATGTGATCAGCTTGGAGTTTTGGCATCATCTATCACTGGTGTGGACATGGACTTGAAGACAGAAGCAAGCCTTCGGCATGCTCGTACATTCCTTGCAGCAAAGCAGTTCAGCCAGGTTCGATGTTTGTTCTCATGCAAAAATAGTCTCTACCGAATTTATTCCCTCTTCGAAATGTTAGTTCAAGGACGCACTTTATCTTGCAATTTGAAGCAAGCATTTGGTTTTACAATCAATTGAAGTATGCATGTTTTGTTTTATGTAGATCTTTTAGAAGATGATAGGGACAGAGAAAATGTTTTTTCATCTTTTACACATATCAACAGATGTACAGCCCGGTGATAATTTCTTTAAATACCAGGGTGTCACCATATTATTATAGGCAGAACATTAGAAAACATTTAATTTGACTAATAGACATTTAGGGAAAGTTCAATCAACCTTTGAGGTTTTAATTTTTATTTTAGTATTGCCTGTATAGAAGCAATTTAAATTATCTACACAACTAAATTGTTACTTTTCCAATCTTACTGTTAACTTTTCATTTCTTGTAATTAATCCATGCTATTAAGGGTATGATTGAAAGGAAAGTCTAAACTGCACAATCTTCAAAAGTGAGATTGAATTGAGAAAAATAGAATTCTAGGGATGAAATAAAGACATTTGTGAAACTTCTGGATTTAAAGATTATTGTTCAAATATTTATCTGGGTTTAATGATTTTTACCAATCGACAAGTACATTAATTTGGGATCTGGAAAATACAGGGTCCAATCATTCTAGATGTCAATTTTTTATGAGCATTTTGCCACGCTAGGCTGTCAAGAACTGAAAAATCTACCAAAATACCTTAACAAACAGATTGTATAATAAACAATAGCATTACATGCATGGTACTTATTGTGTCTAAGAGTGTCCCTGACTAATCTTTAACTTTCACTTTCATGTATTAGTTCTATTTTTGTTTTTGTTTTAAATAGCTTGCATTTCTGTTACCGAGTTTGTGGTTTTGCAGTCTGAACTGCACCGGACTGCAAAACGACCAACGATTGGATTGGGGGACAGCGCCCACATTCAAGGGGCATCCCCAAACAATGATTTACACTGTGGAGTCCAGAACTGGACTGCACAACACATTTCTGTTATCTATTACAGTTTTTAGTCTAATAAATTTTACCATATCACTTATTTTCTTGTTTCTGTATCCTGGGTTCTATATTGACTTTCTTGCAAATATTATTTGCAGGCAACAGCTGTGGCGCATTCCCTTTTTTGCATGTGTTACAAATTCAATCTACAAGTTGAAAACGCTTCTGTTCTTCTTCTACTTGCTGAAATTCACATGGTATGGTGCATTTGATCTCTACCCATCCGGATGTTTAATTACATAAATTAAAACACTAGTCTCTTTCCATCTCAAGGAGAATGTGATGGTAGAAAAACATATCGGAAATGGCTTTTGAAATGTAAGAAGTATGGAGGCTGAGCAGCAAGGGATCATTTTATTGGCCTGCAATTGAGGTCCAACTCATTGGCAAAAATAGATAAATAAAATAAAAGTTGATAGTCGAAGCGTATCATAACCTTAATGATTGTTCCAAAAGCTTCAATTTCCTTGGAAGGCTAAACTTGTTCAGTTGATTGGGTTCAGCACTTAAGCTAGATTAATTATTTCCTTCAGTCTACATTGTTTAAAGGTTTGCTTTCCAGAATGCTAGAAATTAAGTTCTTTACTTCTGTATGGAACTTTGTTTCTCTCCAAAGTGAATTAACTTCCCCTTTTGATACCAATGTATTCCAACCATTTTGGTTAAGAAAGAATTCTAAAATCCAAGCAGTAAACACAAGTCAGATATGATGAGAGCTACAAAACCTCAAGTGATTAGGTAAATAATCTCAGCCAAGTAGGTTCACAACTTTTTGTTAAAACCTATAACTTGCAATAATTTCTCTCCTCCGTTTTCAGTCTTGGTCTGTATGCATCAAACTTGCAATAACGGTTAAATTCCAATTTCTTTATTTTTCTATCACCATCAGAAATCAGGAAATGCTGTTTTGGGCCTTCCATATGCCTTGGCGAGCCTCTCTTTTTGCCAGTCATTTAACTTGGATCTTCTTAAAGCTTCAGCCACTCTTATTTTGGCTGAGTTATTGCTTTCACTTGGAACGACCCACAGAAAGGGAGCTTTAACCCTTATACATGGTGTTTTCCCAATGATTCTTGGTCATGGAGGTCTGGAGCTATGTGCTCGTGCCTATATTGCTGAAGCAAAATGTCATCTCTCCGATCCAAGCTTCTCAGGTACTTTCCTTCTTTTTGTTGCCCCACCTTTTTTAAGTGTGTTTTTCTTATCCCATTTTTTATTAGAGTGAAGCTGCACTTGGAAGTAGGGAGAGGAAATCAATTATTAATTAGTATTTTACAGTTGACGAAATTTCTCTTGTTTGTAGTTTATCTTCTAGCTTAATCTTTTTAATTTGATTTCAAGTTGCATGCTTCAACCCCCTGAAATCTTTTTTTTTTTTTCCCTTTATTCAGAATCTCCTTGTTGATTTATAGGTTGTATTTTGGCAAGGCAAAGAAAATTTGATGTTACTATTGACAGTAATTGACTAGATCCTTCAAAAAATAATTTATATTTTGGAGGATGTCTGATGTATATACCACATAGCTAAAACGTAAACATGCATGCACCTGTTTTCATGATCTGCAAGGAGCTCCAAACCTCCTTGTCCTTTGGTATGTTAGGTATCATTGGTTAATTCACTTAAGTACTCACGATGGAATTTATGCTGTTCCATTATTTGGGGCAACTGAAAGGAGACTTAAGCGTTTAAAGGCAGAGGGTTATCTTTCTCTAAATTGACAATATGTTAATTTTTACTTGTTTTTGTATCATAAGAAATTAGAAAATAAAGGGATCCACTTACATACAAATTTTACACACCGCACTTAAATAATGTCAACCATTCATCTCTTCACGTTCAATGGTTGAGATTTATTATGACTTTTTTGATGAAAAAGATAATTATCTTTAATAAATATGATAAAAGGGGAATAAATCTCAACCATTGAAATTGTAGAGATGAATTATCAAAATTTTGTGTAAGTGTAGTATATGAGACTTGTGTATAAGTAGATCCCTACTCTAGAAACCATAGCATACAAAATTCACTTAAAATTTTGTGGGTTTATATTGCGTATATTTTACCTCTAAAATTAATTTCCTAAAGTCAAAGAATCCATTATTTTTGCGTTAGCATGTGGTAGAGAGATAGAGGTTGCTTTGTTGTTAAAATGTCCAATCTAAAATCTATTGGGAAATTGGTGGAAAGGCCCAACTTGTTAATAAGACTGCAAGAAACCTTTTTGACTCTTTTTTTTTTCCATCTTTGATAGGCAAGGGAAGCAGTGTGGTAATACCATCAACATTCCTATGGTTTAGCATACGATATATCATGCACAGCTTGACACTAATCATATGCTGCACTTTATCCTTCCCCTTTTTGTATTTCCTTAATCACCAATGTGTAATTATAATTTGGTAGAATTCTGTTTGATTATAGTGTGGTGGTTGCGTTTATCTATGTACACAAAATGACTCTGGCAGTGTTGCACATATTTTTTATTTTTCCAAATCTAATTTTGTTGATAGTTTTTTTTTATTGGGCCAACCATTTTGTTGATAGTTGTTTTTTCTGAACCTTTTTAGGTTCATCATGTGCTTCATTTTTACAATCAGAACCAAAATTAAAAGGGATCATAATGTGATCTCCATTTAAATTTACTCCTTTTTTGTTTTTTTCCTTTTTCATTTCCTATCTTTTAAGTTTCCTTGGGATATACAATTATTCATGGATGTGTGTACATTCAAGCAGTTTCTGAAAATTCTGAGGTAGTGCTCGATCCCTTGAAACAAGCTTCGGAGGATCTTCAAGCATTGGAGGTTAGTTGCTTTCAAGCAGGAATTTATACATTCACTCTCTCCATTCACCTTAATAACATTAGCATCAACATCTGTGCAACTCATTAAGCATAAAATTATCTTAACCTTCTTATGAAGCCAAAAACCTAGGTTTATTGTCTATGTCCTTAACTACTCTGAAATTGTACTTAACTGAAAATAAAATGTATATAATATAATAATGTGCATTAGTGTCTCTTAAAATTTGTTGTTGCTATCTGTTGTAATTTTGCTCATCCTTGTTTGCTTATTTATGATATTCTTTACCTATTATTACAGTCTTGTCATTGTTAATGGTGAGTTATAATTGCCATGCAGTATCATGAACTAGCAGCTGAAGCTTTTTACTTAATGGCCTTTGTATTCGACAAGCTGGGCCATCTGGAAGAAAGGGAGGAAGCCGCTGCTCAATTCAAGAAACACATAATGGTTCTAGAGAATCCTCAGGCAGTGGAAGACCCTTTGTTCAATTTGTGAGAAGAAAATTGCAGTGGCATGTTCTGCTAACAAGATTGTAAATTATGTGTTTTTTCCTGAAATTTTATTGATGTAGGCACTCAATGGCTAATCCTTATCAAAGCCTCTAGATGACAAAATGCACCGACATCGTGTATGAATTTCAGTTACCTTGCCAATTCCTTTTTGAGCAGTGACGTGATTTCTTTTAGCTTGTCCGGGTGTGGTGCCGTGCTGCCTAAAACTTTTGTTCTGGGTGCAAACATCAATTTGGTCACTCAACTTTTAGACTTATCTCAAAATTATCTTTCAACTTCAAAAAATATTAAAATTATCTCTAAATTTTAATTTTTGATATCAAAATAGGCTTTTCATTAGCAAAAATGCTATGTGATTTGTTATTTTGTCACAAAAACAGTTTTTTTTTTAAATAGTAATGACTTGTAAAATTAAAGTCATTTTTGCTATCATGGTTTATTTTTATTTACATATCAGATTAATATATAATTAAATTTAAAAGACTAAATTAGTGTTTGTAATTAAAATTTAAAAACTAATTGGATACTTATTTTTATAGTTTAAGGACTAAATAGGTATTTGTCTTTGAAGTCCAAGGCCTAAGTTAGTCCTTGTCTTTGAAGTTTAAAGATTATTTTAGTACTTAAAATTAAACTTTAGAGATAATTTTAGTATTTTTTAAAGTTAAAGAACAATTTTAATATAAATTTGAAAGTTAAGAGATCAAATTAATATTTTATAACCTTTGTTCTTATAGATTTTATTTGTTCTCAAGTCAATTAAGGAGTGGTTTTGATTGAGAACGATAATGGATTGATAATAGGTTCAAAAAGTGGAGACGGAGCACTTTGAGTGACATATCATCCCAATCACAACACTTGTAGGCTATTGTAGCATCTCTTCCTTACCCTTATATATTTCTATTTATTCAGCCACTGGCCGAGACAAGGCCAGGCCTGAGGAGGTACAAGCCCTCGCTAAACTTTTAAGAAATAAAAACTTTGGTCCTTTATGTTATATTTTCATTATTTTAATTCTTATTCATTTCATACATTTTAATTATTTTTTAAATTTTTTTTCAAAGATTAGTTTTAGTGATTATGAGAAAATTGAGGAAAATAAAGATTAATTGGATACAGTTGTTCAATATAATACTATACTATCAATTAATATTAATTTATAGCTAAAGACTAACATATTTTAATTTAAAATAATTTTTTATTAAAATTTTTCTTTTTATTGACTTTTTAATTAATGCAAACATATTTTTTTTTCAAAATTTCATTTACCCCTCTTAAAAAAAATTCTGACTACGCCACTGCATTTAGCTTACAATAAGGATGAAGACTTGTGTTTGAAAACAACCATCTCCGGCCTTTGAATGAGCACTCTTTTCGGAAGGAAAATCTAAATTTAGATGATCCTGGAGGATGAATGTATTGAGTTGGGGTGTTGGTGTGGATTAGTTTAACATTTTAAAACTAAATCAATTTATTCCATTAATAAAATTTTTAAATCAATTCAGTCTGCTATTATATTATAATCAAATTAATCCAATTTAAATTAAATTAGCAGGGTTTAGTCAAATTTATCAAGTTTAAATATTATTTTAAATATATTTAATTAAATAGAAATTAAAGCATCAAATTATAAAAAGCATAATTATAAACTACAATAACATCATTATAGACAAAAAAAAATGATAATACCAACAGCTAAAATTAAGAATTAAGAAGACGGCCAAAAGAAAAATGTCAAAACAAATAAGGCAACCAAGATATATAAAGCAACGCTATTATCGCTCAAAAAAATAGAGTTCTGATAGTAGAGTTTTTACTTGTATAAGGAATGATTTAGGGTTGTACTATTTTTTAATTAAGTTAATTAAGTTATGTTATATAATTATAGTACAAAAATAAAATAAAATAAAATAATGATAGTCAATATAATTAATATTATATTTAGCTAGCTATAAAATAATATTATACTGAAGAAATAAGAAAAGTAAAACAAAAAAGGAAAATTTAAAATAAAATTTTATACAAAAATAGAAATTATAAAAATATAGTATATTTTTATTTTACCAAAATATCTAAAAATATATTTATTGAAGAAACAAAAGTAAAAATATTACATTATTTAATTAAGTTATTTTGTAATTAAGTAGTTTGGTCAATTTGAAAGTCATAAACCAAAGTATTTAAATTGATTTTAAAATTTTATGATCCAAATCAAGTCAAATTAATATTCGCTTAGATTGGATATTTATTGGATTCAGTCATCTTTGGTCAAATTAATCAATTTAGATCAGATATAAACAGCATACTAATGTATGCTGGTCTTAACACTCAAGGTCTGTTTGATTCGCAAAATATAACTTCATTTGGAAAATATTTTCTTTTCCAAAAATTATTTTCTAATGTTTGGAATACTTTGGAAAACTTTTTAAAGAAAATATTTTTTATTATTTGGTAAATTGTGAAAAATCTTTAAAAATTTCAAAATATTAATTATTTTTTTGATAATTGAAACTATTAATTAAATAAAGATTAAAAATTGAAATTGAAACATTGAAATTGATCAAACAAACATCTATTATTCTTATATTTTCTACTATACTTTTTTATAGGTACATTAATGCAGAGGTTTGAAATGCTAATATTGACTACAAATTAAATTTTTAAGTTAATAAATATTAATTCAATTAAACTATTGTTGATTTTTTTTACCATACTATTAAAATAAGAATTCAAACACCAAAATTTTATTATTAGAAAAAAAACAAAATTTTATTACTTCGAGTGTAAGGGATGCACAACTCTTCACAAATTGATCAAGTGCAGCTTACATACAAAAAGCATACATGTTCTGAAACACCAAACAAACAACAAAACATAACATCTATACAAAATTTTAACTCTGGCTATTAAAGTTAATAACAAATCTAGGAAAAACAATAAGATCCAAAGCATACAAGTCTCCACCCTTTTGCCTATGATCCCCAAATATTGCAAGCCAATTCAAGCAACATGTATGGCACAATGCAGTCACCACATCCTTAACACACACACATCTATATATCAAGAAAAGCTCAAGGAACATAAAAAATCATGCCAAATAAAAGAGAAAGGAAATTTCTGGCTATAGCAAAAACCTCTATGGTATTGAATGTTACCAACTCACGCTAAATGATAAACTGTGAATCAGCCTCATCTCAATAGTATCTAAGAATATCTTTACGACTTTAAGGAGGAAATAATGCTAGTAAAATAAGAAATTCATGCTACTTAAACTCCAACAAAATTAGCCAAGTTATTACAATCTCCTCACCCAAGGAGATCCAAGTGAAGAAACAATAATATCCATCATCCAATCAAGTTACCTCAAAAAGCTCTCACTTGAAAAATTGATGGATCATGACCAACTCTAGTCAAAACATTTCACATGAGCAACAAACTTGAGGATAAAAACGCCATATTCTCTCTTATCATAAATCCATTTCATTAGGAGATGTTCGACAATTGGAGTCAGTCTCATCCTTTCCATTGTGGAGGGAACCATTGAATTGGCTTAGATCAAGATTTATGGAAGATACCCCAGCATCTAGTTTCTTGTTTGCAGTAAACATAATTGATCAATGACTCTCAACAATATTGGCTCAATGCACTCCAAAAGGGGGGATGAATTAAAGTTGGAAAATTCTCACCTCTTTGCAACCACCAAACAAAAATTAAAGGGAGAGTAGGGAAGAAGAGTTTGCACAATGATTTTATAGAGGTTCGGTCCAACCACTTGGAGCTTAGTCCTCTACCTTGGCCTCACTCACCGAGGATTTCCTTCACACTCTCCACTAAGAAGAACAAGGGTGACTTAAAAGAGCCACTCAATCCTTTTATAAGAAGAAGGGTATTTCTCTCAAATCTCACCCCTTTACAAGATAAATCCCAAGAATCCTCTCTACAGATCACTCTTGAAGGAATAATCACACCCCCCAGATAACACACAAGTAGAACAAGAGAGGATTATAAGTAAAGATCACTCAAAAATCAAAAACTCAAGTTAAAACACAAGCTGGTAGGTAGAGATCTTCAATACAATGCTCTAAAACTTATCCCAATTCTGCTACCAACCATATTTATAGCTCCTTGGTTGAAAATAACTGTTTCTAGCCATTGGGGGTTATTAAATGCTCTACAGGTCACATAATTTCTAGTTGCAAATTTGTCAGCAAAGCTAGCTTTAAATTTGGATCCGGCTTAGCAAAGCCAGCTTAGATTCATAGAGTCAACTTTGCAGGTTTCCTGCACATTTTGTTTTTTTTAAGAGCCGGCTGCAAATGTAAAACCAACTTTGGAAATCTAAATTTAAAATATTAAAGAATTTTTATATAACTTGACCATTGTACATTTAATGCACCATCATAGCCGACTAAAAAGTTAAAGCTGGCTTTGTAGTCGTTTTTTGCCACGCCAAACTGTGCACTTAAATTTTTCTCCCATAGAGCTAGCTCTCTACGCTTGCCTTCACTAGAGTCGACTACAAGTTTCTAGAGTTGGCTCTATGCACATTTTTCAGCCTCTTTGGTCCTTTTTAATGCAGTTCAAGTTCACTTACTTTTGTAGTCATTTGAAAGTTCAACTACACATTTAAATGAACAAATTGGTCATTTAAATGTGTTTTGTAATCATTAAAAACATAGGTACAACAAACAAAAAGAAAAAAATGAAATTTTAGGCTCAGCACTAGCTATTGAGATTAACACAACCAAAAGGGAAAAATAGAGCATAATGAAAAAAAAAAAAAAAAAACGAAGTCCTAGCATCATTGGATGGTAGCTAAGCTGGAGGTGAAGGCCCAGGAAATACCTTATCTGAAATTTCTCTTTTGTTAAAAACCTACTATTGAAGGTTGCCGGTTACTCTTTAAAAGTAGTGTGACATGACCCAATAAATAAGCAGATGTTGGTTGGAGAGTGCAGGAGGCGATTGCTACTAGCATTGCTCATCATGAGGATGTTGGAAACAGCAACAGGAGGTCGTTTGTTGTTCATCGCCGGCAACTTAAGGGTTGGTTCTAACAAGAGGGGGCAAAATTACATCCCACCTAACTCAACTCTAAAAAAAGGGTTTAGAGTTAAGTGATATTGGACCTGTAACTTGTTTGGGGTCAAAATAGGTTAGCTCTTAAATTCACGAGTATATAACCTGTTTATTTTTAAAATTTTAAAAAAATATTTTTATAAGGTTATTTTTTAGGTAAAATAACTTATAAATATAATTTTTTAAAAATCTAATAAAATAGTTACCATTACAATTTATAAAACTTTCCAAAAGAAAACTGAGTAAATTCATTTAAAATTTATAAATCAAGTACTGTATATTATACACAATTATCTGTAAATAAAATAAAAAAACTAAATGAATCATTCAAAATATATTCTACAAAAAATAAGTCATTTTAGTGAAACTAATCAAATAGAATGAAGCAAAGTTAGGAAATAGGCAAAAACCCTTCTTAGACAAAAAAAAATATATTATATTATTTAATTAAGTTATCTTGTAATCGAATTTTATTTTATAATTAAGCAGTTCGAGCATTTTAAAAGTAAAATCATAAATCAAATCAATTATATTAATTTTAAAATTTTATAATTCAAATCAACTCAATTTTATATCTGTTTAGATTAATTTTTAATTAAATTGAATCAGTTTAGATAAAATCAATTATATTAAATAAGATATAAACACCCTTAAACCAAACCAATTAATTTGACGATAAAACTGAATTATTTGGTTGACCTTTAGTTGCTATCTTTTTTTTCTTTTTTTTTTTTAAACAAGTTGTCATGTACGGACTTAAACCCACCCAAGGGAAGGTTGGATGCCACTTAACCTGAAGGGAGAAGGTGCTTTCAGTTGCTATTTACAAAATAATCCATCGATAAAAACCGTCAATTTAGATTCGGTTCCAACAACCAGTGGCCGTGAAAAAACAGAAAGAAAGACATGGGACCACAAAGTGTCTCAAAAGTCCAGTCCAATCCTTTATTCCAAAGCAGTCAAGTTTTGCGGTATTTCTGGAGGCAAGACAATTAATTATATTTAATAATTTTGTTTGACGCGCACGGTCACTAGAAAGACGTTAACATCAATTCGCGTGCACGGGCACTAGACAATTAATTATGATTTAATAATTTTGTTTGTCCCTTCCTTAGAATTGGAAACTTTACTTTGGCTTTGACTAGGCTTTGTACGGAACATGTCATTTAAAAAAAGATTCATGACTTGTCAATAAATTATTATTAAAAATATAATTTATTTTATA